GCCCGCGCTGTGGGAGCGTCCTCCGTGAGCAGCCCTGTGCCGGCTGCGTCTGGGGAGCCCCGTCCCAGAGAACTGCTTCGGGGCCCTGCATCCCGCCAGGAAGAACGTTTAAAGTCTTGCAGCAGATCATGAGCTTGCTGTTAAATTCGCTTCCTTGCTTCTCCCTGGAGCCCCAGTGCCTGAGCTGTTTTGGACAAAATAGTGTGATTTTTTTGTTTTCATACAGTTACCACAGCGGTAGCTGTTACTCTGGCAACTGCCTGGATGAGGTCCAAGGGAGGTCCCATGCACTAGAACATTAAGAAAATTTGTGATTTCTTTTCAGGTTTATTATTGCTATTCAAGAAAGAGAGTTTACCAGCTTTGCTACTCTTTCATAAGTCATTGTTTTACAAAGGGATATTTGTTGCAGGGCAATAACAGAGTCACCAAAGTGCTTTACAATACTACATAAGTGTTCAGCCTAAGTCCCAAAGTCAATCCTTTAGCAGTGCAGTCCAGGAAAATGGAAACTTTTTCTTAGTCACACAAGGATGTTCCCTTTTTATCAGTCGTTTTTTTTTTCTTTTTAGTTGCCAGCTTTTCAGGATTTACTGATAAAGCAAATGCTTCCTTATCTCTTAGCTCTTTCCTCTAACCACCAGACTGTTTCACAAGGCCTTTGTTACTGTTTACTTCATTGATTTTGCTAATTGAAAAATTTAATTGCCTGCTCTATATCTGTGCAGTTCCAGGAAAATATAAGCTTTTTTTTTTACCCATACAAAAACCCTCAACCTTGGCCAATCTCTACAAGGAACTGTGATGAACAAGTACAGGTTATGTTGATACGTGGACTTCTTTCCACTGACTGCTCTTCTCTGCTTCTGCACTGAAAGTTCTTCAGCTTTCTCAGCAGTTTGGAGTGGAGCACAGAGCTGACACTGGCAAGCGGGGCTCTAGAAGGGCTGATTTTTTTGAACTCTACCTCTGCTTCAGGAAGAGGTCAGGGAAGTTTGCTCTTTCTGCTTATGCTAGCTCGTCCTTGTAGTGTTTCCCAGCCTTGAGCCCACATGCTGGGTCGAGTGCTTGCCCAGTGCGTGAGGGCCCACGTGTAATTCCTCTGTCTGGTGGAGTTGAGTTGAGACTGTCATCTACTTCTTGGGCAGTAGGCAATGAAGTGTTTTTGAAGTATGGAAGGTTGCGAGAGCTCTTTTACTTGGTATATTGTAACTCATATACTTGTGGGAACTAGAAGTGAAGCACAGGTCATGGCCTTCTGTGTATAAGGCCTGGTAAGGTAGTGGTAATAAAGCACTTCTCTAATGTTGCTGTTCAGGTATTGGGAATCTAGCTATGCATCCAGCAGCTCCAAACTAGGTGCCAACTCTAAGTCATCAAGACATAATCAAGTCTTTATTACTAAGCACATATTTGTGTATCAGGAGAAGTTTATTGCAAGAGACTTTAGTATCTGGGGATATAGACATTGCCAGGGCGGGGTGGAAGCTGAGCAATGGTTTTGAAGACCTGTACTTTGGACTGGGGCACCAGATTTCTCCTGTGAGTCCAGCACTTAGCAGAGTGTTAGCTGTTTGCTGTGAAGGCTATTGAAGATACCACTCAACACAAAGGACTTCAGTGGAGAAGGCCAAGTAAGTGGTATCCCCCTCACTGTTGTGCTGATTGTTTGTGCCTCTTTGTTGATGCTTTTGGGATTATGGCCAAAGTTTCCACTTTGTGGCTCAGCTACATACTGTAAAGTCTATGCAGGAACGAACGGGCCTGCCTGTAGACAGATAAAACCTCGGCTTAACGATGAAGCACTCCGTTAGCCTGTGACTCTGTCTTATTAAATCTGCTTTGTTCTTCTGGAACCCATTAGCGATAAGAGTACAGTGTTAGCTTTGTTTCCAGCACCAGGCGAGTTCACATCAGCTAATGAGCTCATACTATGGCATGTGACTGCCCTTGTTAGTGAAATTTGAAAGGATGAAGTGTTTCATCCCAGTGCCATCATCTGGTGAGCTGACTTCAGCCCCCTGCTGCTGGGGGCATTGACCAGGTCTTATCTGCCCAGCAGAAGTCATGGTCTCATATGTTTGGTTTTGATTTGAAAGTTAAGTTTTCAGAGCCAATAGGATATAAACACCTGTTACAGTTTAATCATTGTTTGTAAAATAGGAAGGGGGGTTGAAGTCAGCCCTCATTCTCTGTAGTGGATATGTTGTGATTTGGTCACAAAATGTAATGGATATATTGTGATAATGGTCAAAACAGAACTAGCTGAATATGGAAGTCAGCAGGCCTGGTGAAATATCTGCTGGAGTGCATATTGCTGTTACAAGCTCATGTCCATAGAGGCACAGGAGCACAGGGTTCGGGGACGTTGTAATGAGAGAGGTGACGATAACGCTGGTGTCCCTGGGTTGATGTTCTTGAGAAGCAGCTCATTAGACATTGTACGCTTTCAAGGTGGGTGTGACATGGATGCTGTCACAAAACCCAACACGTACTGAAGGGATTGCGTCACTGCTAGCTTGAAAATGTAGTTATTCAGGAATACCATACAATTCAGTTTTGGTGGTAGGACTCATGAGCTCTAGTATTTTTGAGGGTGTGTATGATTTTGTAGATGCTTAAGTGCATTCTGCCATGATTCTTTTTTGAATTGCTGCACATTTTCCTGGTAGCCTGCACTTTCTCTGGGTTTTTCACTAATCACAGGACATGTGGTTGCATAAAGCCCAAGTATCTAGGTCTTGATTCCTTCTGCTTTCACATTCAACCAGCTGTATTCAGTAGTTTGGAGTGGAACCTTTTAAACGCTAATTTAAAATATGCTCACTGTAAGATCCTCTTCTTAAATTCATCAGGTGACAAGAACTCTGGAATCATGGCGGGGAAACCCAAGCTGCACTACACCAAGGGAAGGGGGAAGATGGAGTCAATCCGGTGGCTGTTAGCAGCAGCTGGGGTTGAGGTTTGTATCCTTTTTTCTTTTTAATAATGTGATCAGATTAATTGGTGATTAAAATAAGTATTCTTTGGAAAGGTTTCCTAATTACATCAGTACTTAGAAATACACATCTTGTGATGCAGAATATGTAGATTCAGTGATGTATTTTCTCATGTTGTATTTATTTAACATATTTCTTGAGCAACAATTGCCCAGTAAAAGGATTTTAACATACAAAGCAAATTGTTATGTGTCATCTTTGAAACATACTTTAAGCTGAGGAGATCTTAAATTGTTGATACAGACCAAAGCTGTGAACCTTTGGCTTTTTCTGCATGCTTATTAGTTCTCTGTGTCTCATGATTGGTCTCCACTGAAAGACCGTGTGTACCACACGAGAAACTTTAGAACATTATCTCCAGACAAAGTGCGTTTCATTCTTTGGGTCAGGACTTGAGTGGGTTAAATCAGCAAAGCTGCCCTGAAGGCAGTGTGTGTGTGGGATGTGAAAACCATCCAAAGGCACATTAATTTCTGCATGCAATGGTTGCTTGAATACGGTACTTTGAAACTGTTTTCTTGGAAACTGATTATCCTGCACTGGAAATAAAAAGCTTTTTTAACGGTGCTCACTCCTGAATGTTGCTGACAGAGAAGCTGCAGAGCACGAGAGCCGAGGAAGCGAAGATCTTGCCCTCATTCAAACTTCCTTCTCATTTAGAAAAAAATGCCAGCAGGGGAAAGAGGGAGATAAATGGTGGGTAATGGAGGCATAACTTACAAAAAAAATCCTCATTGTTTCACATGGCATCAGCTGCTTTTAAGTGAATGACTTGGTGTCTGGTAATTGTGCAGGCAGGTAGACGGTCTTTATACAGAAGGAAGCTGGTTTTGAAGCATAAGGCATTGTACCATACTGTGGGGTTAGTATAGTCCTTGGTTATTCTGGAGCAGAGATGAAAAATAGGAGCAGGGAGTCACCACAATCATGCGAAGTATGGGGAATAGCGTGGAGAGTTGGAGGCTGGCTTCCAGACTTCCTTCCACTTCCTTGTTATCTTTGGAGTGACAGAGCGTTCTTTTCTATCTGTGCTTTTCAGTTTGAGGAAGAATTCATAGAAACGAAGGAAGACTTAGAAAAATTACGCAAAGGTGAGTCTGCAAACTGTGTGTTAAACATAACCTCACACCGATACAACGAAGGGACAGCAGGGGAGAGTTCTGTGAGACCTTCAATGCGATGTGTCCTCTGTAAAGAGGAGTTCTGAGAGACCTGCTTGCTCGTGAATGCTTTCATCCCTCAGAACTGGAAATGTCTTGACATGTTGTTACCAGGTCTCTTCCGCAGATTCAGTGCAGTATTGCAGGACTTTCAGTAGCTTTCTTATTTTTCCTTCTCTAGATGGATCCCTGCTGTTCCAGCAAGTGCCCCTGGTGGAGATGGATGGGATGAAGATGGTGCAGACCAGAGCCATCCTCAGCTACATAGCAGGGAAATACAACCTCTATGGGAAGGACCTGAAGGAGAGAGCCTGGTATGGTAACAGTGCATACTTGTCCTTACTAATGCTTTTCCATGATTTTTAATATTTGTGAGAAGAAAATAGCTGTGAAATGTCTGCATGTAAAGAGGTGCATGTACATCTGCCAGTACTTTGTCTCCTCAGATCCAGGGGTCGGCTGAATGGACTTTGTGATTGACAAATGATTGTTACTTGTCAACACAGTGAGAATGTTTATGGCTGCCTTCAGGCTTATTTGATTTCATAGACACCAGAAGTCCATTAAGTTCCTGAGCAACTGAAGGACCATAACACAATAATAAAGGCTAAGTATGCCTTTTTTCCCCCCTCTTTAAACTGGAAAACAATAGGAAAAAGTACAGCTGCCTGAAAAAAGTATCTTTCAGTATTCTAATTTTATTTTTTTAGATTTTCCTTTCTCCTTGTAAAAAATCTTTAATGGCTGATTTAAAAAAAGACATGTTCAATGGCTTAATGCTACCAAAAGTTAAACCAGTATTTTCCTAATATTACTTTACTATGTAAGCTGTGGATACTTTCCACTGTCATAATTAAAGGGCTAATGCGAAAGCCAAAATCCTTGTTTATTCTTTATTAAAAAAAAATAATGCAAAAGTTCATTTAAGTCCTTAACCTAACTGACCCCCACTTACTGTCAAAGGTTTATTCTGTGATAATGGAGGGGCAACTCCAGAGATTGTGGGGATTATTATGGCCTGGCATGTCTGAACTGGCAGTTGGCAGCCATTTGTTGCTGAGATCGTGATTAGACCTCAAAACTTACGCAAACCATGCTAGATTAAAAAAAAATATGCGGTCTTTTCTCCCACAGGATAGTTGAACAGGTTATCAGTGGAAAACAGTGTGAAGTCCATGTTGAGTACATTACTTGCAGACTTTTATGTATACAGTGCTTGTTGAAGACACTCTGAGCCTGTTCATAAAGATCTGTGCTTTGAAAAAACCTGACCTGGAATCTAAGTGGAAGAACAAGAGAACAAAGTAGTGTCCTATGTTACATTCACTAAGAAGCATTTTACTCAGTAATCACTTCAGCATTGTATTTCAGGGAAATAACCAAAATGTAATGTTCAAACTATAAATGTGAAATAAAAATGTTGGTTTCAGGATTGATATGTATGTGGAGGGAACAACAGACCTGATGGGAATGATCATGTATCTTCCTTTTCAACCAGCTGACTCAAAAGAAAAGCATCTTGCCTTAATCATTGAACGAGCTACAACAAGGTACTTTCCTGTTTATGAAAAGGTAAGTGATAAGTCACCAGTAGTCCACAAAGACAGTAAAGTGGGGTACAGGTGTGTGTCCCCCCTATTCCCCTGGCCCCACACACCAACCTTCCCGAAGGCAAGTAGCAGTACTACTCTAGAACTGTATGCTGGAGCCAGCATTCAGCAATGTGAAGGGAGGACCACAAAGTAATGTTCAGCTGGTTTCAGTACTGAGTATCTTTGCTGTCTTCTTTAAGATTCCTCATAGAGCAGATCCTACTTTTTAAACCTAGCTTAGTGGCCAGTAGCTCCTAGCATTTTGCATAAATGCACCATTTAAACACCTGTGCCAGCATTCTGAACTTACTGCCTGAAGGTCTATATACTCTTGCTGTTCAAAGCTCAATTTAATTGTGCTTTATAATTAAGGACCTGACTCTGCCATCCTTTTCAAAGCTGCTGCTTTCACATATTACACTTACAGACTTACTTTCTTTTTTTTTACAAATTTTACAGAATTACTGTCCTTTTCTGAATTGCTATTTGGGGATTCTTACGTGTACACAAAAAGGCTGGGCAAACAGGATGTGCCTAGCATGAAAGCACAAAGCAATTATTTACTGGCTAGCACACACTAAAGCGTGAGCCTTTGTTGAGCTGCAAGGTAAAATGCTGTGATGCTGTCCACCCCCATAGAGCCCATGGAGAGTCTTTTCTTGCCTGGGCAAGAGCTGGTCAGGAGGGGACAGGTTGTTCTTTGCTTTGCCCTGGAACGCAGCCTGGATGTTACCGAGTTGCCATTTTCTCCCAGCTTGCTGCTTGTTTTGTTTTTCCCTCTAGGATATTTTAATTTTCTGTGTGTGTTTGAATTGAGCCAGCCCTGATCCTCTTCTTACTAGCCTGCTTCTCTTTGTAACTTCACCTTTTGTACCTCGTGTGGTTGTACTGCACAGACTCTCGGAGCGCAGGAGTCTCCTCGGACGTCTGTGCCAAGGGCACAAAGCTGTGTTGTTTCAGAGCTGAGCCAGGGTGCTAGCTTGAGTCCTTGTTTCATGGGTAGCTGAAGTCCATTCAGAAAATCCTGGGTTTGATGTAATTTCATGTGCCTCTTCTGTCAGAGCCTTGAATTGCACAAGTGAAATCCACAGAGGCTGCCCTGTGAAAAAAACCTGGATGTAAACAACATAAACCAGCACTCCTGTAATCCACATCCATACAGACCCACTGCCATGCCAGTGGAAGGGTGTGCTGACAGAGCTTAATTGCACACGGTAATCTTTCAAAGATTTGGAGTGTGATAACAAAAGTATTTAAGTTATTAAAAAAGAAAAAAAGTAAATGTAGACACCAGTGTTCTCTGAGCTTGTGCCTAAGTGGCATAAACTACTGTTTGGTATGTTTTGAGTGTGTATCCTTACTGGAGAGAAGTCTTTAAATAATCCCTGTTCGCTTATGGCAAAGACACAGCTAAACTTTCCCATGATTTTTAGCCTAGTTAATTTTATTAAAATGATTAATATTTTTCCTGCTGCACCAGCTGTTTACATTGTCCATTGATTGAGCTTAGCAGGGTTTACAGTCCATGCATTACACAATCCTGACAGAAGGTATCCCTGGCTACCAGGGTGAAACACTCATCAGCCAGTAGGGCAGCAAAAGGTCACCAACAGCACTGCAGGCAATCTGACCCCGGTGCTCTCTGTGGGAGTTTCCATCTGGCTGTGATAGATAAGCTGTGGTGGGCCTTGTTAGAGCAGGTCAGGTGGTAAGGAGACAGAGGTACCAGCTTTGCCTCTGTCAGAGGTTACTGCCTCTTTCACAGTAAAACTGGCAGATGGGACTGGAGAAGGAATCAGCTTCTGAAGTCACAGACTGATGTCCTCTTTTAGTGCATGTTTGTTAGTGGTGTAAGTGTGGCTTTAGAGTGGCTTAGGCACAGACATGGTTCCTTTTCTCACTCCTGCTATGGGGGTGGTAGTTCTCAGGAGAAAGGTAGGCTGGGGAGTTGCTACCTGCTCTGAAGCCATGCTGCAGCATTCACCACAACTTGCCTGCTAGGAGTACTAGTAGCTTTGGCAGGCTGCTTCTTGCATAACAGTTTGCCATGAAAGGATCCTTCCGTGCAGGATGAAGGCTTGAAAGGCTGTGTTCTTCATACCTGTTTCAAACTATAGTCAACAATCTCAAATTTTGCTGAAATATCTGGGAATTCACTTGACTTTAAAAAAAAAAAAAAATCAAACTGTGCTACAAGTAAACTATTCCAACTACCTTTTCCAATTACTTCAGTCCTGTTTCTTTTCTATGGCTTAAGTGTTTTTTGTGGTACTGGACTTGTTACAGCTACCTAGTGCAGTAGGTTAGAGTGACAGGACCATGCATACTGAAACATGAATTCTGACTTAATGTTTTGTCATGAGATTATCTATGCTTTCCTAAGTTGAGAGGTTCCAGTGTGGATTTGGTCCGCTATGTGTTTTTGTAGAAATCTGTCTGTAATTAAATATCCAGATAAAACTGTTACATGCTATATGACTCTTCTGGTTTGTATTTTGTAGGCCTTAAAAGATCATGGGCAAGACTATCTTGTTGGCAACAAACTAAGCTGGGCAGACATCCATCTGCTGGAAGCCATTTTAATGGCAGAAGAATGTAAGCCTGATATACTGGCTGCGTTCCCTCTGCTACAGGTTAGCCATTATCTGGTCTCCCTTTGGAATCTAACATGCACATTTCATCTCCCCAGGTTTAAAAGTAAATGGTGTTTGAATTTTTTGAACCATTGTACTCTGTAATTGACAGTTCTCTGCCTGCTTCTGTTGACTACAGCAACCTGAACACAGACACAGAGCTTTGCCCCCATTGCTGCTGGGGCCTCTCCCTTCTCCAGCTCTGCTTTTACTAGCTCTTCCCACCTGGCAGGAGTTCACTTACTGACGCTACCAGCTGGGCCCTGCTGTAACTGCTACTTCCAGGCCTTCAAACACAGCAACGAGCTGTTGTGGCTGCAGCTCCTGTCCTTCTCTTTTTGCTAGAAAAATTGTGTTTTGAAGAAATCATATATACAAAAGCTGTTAAATTTCTTGTGTCTTGTCTTCCGTGGTGCTTTACATTGGGGTATTCCTGTCCTTTCTTCTTGTTTTGCCCAAATATATCTGCAGGATTTGGATTCAGGCTGTGGGTTTTGCTTTTATCCTTTATTTTTTTTCTTCTACCTTTACTGGCAGAATCTTAAAACTCTTTAATTTCTCCCATCCCCATTTGGGAAACTAAGGTAAAAACTTACAGCAGCAGCACTGCAGATCAGAATATTCACACCTGGATTTTCCACTTTTTTTTTTTTTTTTTAAATGGAAAATGCTGAGTGCTGAGCTGGCTATAAGGAGCTACTACTTTTCTCTGCTTACTAAGTATGTCTGAGAAGTAAAAGTCCAACTCACCTGATTTTTAAACTACAAAGGATGGAATCATCATTGCCTTAATCTCATTGGCTTTACTGCTGCTTGTTACAGGCTTTTAAAGGAAGAACAAGCAACGTTCCAACAATCAAAAAATTCTTGCAGCCTGGCAGCCAGAGGAAGCCACGACCAGATGAGAACTATATGGCCACTGTGAGGAAAATATTCAATATCTAGTCATGTGCCTGCTGAAGATAACACAACTGCAGTATAGCAGCAGAGCTGTGCCTTATAAGCATAAAGTGCATAGATGTATCTTGTAGCTTGCATGATACAGCCAATGACACAATAATCACTGAGACAGAATATACTTTTAAATTAGAATAAAAGGCTCATTTAGACCTGTTGAGTCCATAAATTGGTATTTTGTGGAACAGTTACATGAAATAAAATATGCTGATACTTTAATTACAGCACATGCACAGTGGGGTAAATGTTTCAGCTGTAGCTTCTGGAGTACTGTAGAAATCACCCTCCCTCTCCTTTATAAACTGTGGGAGAGAAGACCCAATCCATAAAATGGGAAAGTCTTTTAAATTCAGGCCTAGAATCTTTTGGTTTTGCTCTCTAGGTAGTCTGTTAGATCAATGTTCACCACCCCCTTGCTGTATTTCACTGCTGTCTGTAATTTCAGAACTGCAATTTGAAAAATAAATAAGATAAAAATAATCAGAACTTGTGATCCTTGTTAAGTTTATGGGCAAGAGTGTGTATAATCATCATGTAAAACTTGTGATTTTGTGTGCTGAAAGATCAAAATACTTGTGTTTAATTGTGATGTGGTTTTCATCCAGTGAAAGCACCTATCCCCCTCTTCTTTCCGCTCTTTGGTGAGCTGGTCACAGCGAGGAAATGGCCACTTGGCTGTTCAGTTTATAAGGTTTTTCCTTCTCCAGTCACTCCTCAGGGAGCTGTAAGGAGAGCTGCACAGGGCGCTTACTTTTCCAGCGTAAGAGTTAATTTTTATCTGAACAGTGCTTAAATTCACCACTAGTTCAGATTCTTTACCCTAACTTCATGGGAACCACAGTTAAGGCAGTGCCATAAACTCCCCTTCTTCCTTGTAAGTTGTTTTTCTCAGCAGGACTCGGATCGATGCAGCAGAGAAAAGTCAGTGTTACTTGTCTGGGCTGCTGAGGAATTTCAGCAAAAGCTTCTGGATTACAGCTTTGGTTTGGAGGCCAGGTTCAGCCCCTGCCCTTGTGGGCTCATTCAGAGAAGGCACAGAAGGCTCAACTCTGGACATGATAAATTCAACATCTTAGTACACTTAGGATCTAGGGTAGCAGCAAGTGCATGATGGCTTCTGCATTTTGGCAGTAGGATGTCTAAACTTTTCACTGGAGCTTAACTAAGGCAGGATTCACCTTGTCTCCAGTACAAATACCCAAACTGGCATGGGTGACTCAAGCCTGTTAAAAGACATGGCAGTTAATTCTTCTGACATGCCTTGAAGTTCTGCTTCAGGATGAAATGAAGCACGCCTTTCATGCCCAGATGTCATCCCAATTTGAAATCCATAACACACCAGCTCAATCTCCTGTAAGCCTGGCAACACCTGGAGGTGACTGATATCAGCATTTTTCAGCAAAAGATTCTGGAGCTGGAGGCTGTGGTTTAGGATTGGTTCAAGGTTGGTTTTTTTTTCCCCACCTTTTTAGTTGTTTCTTGTGCCTCAGACATCTGAGCCTCTCACAACACCCTGCCACCACCTAGGCCCCTGCCGTGAGTGCTGAGCAGGGTATTATGCTGAGGGATTTGCAAGGATATCTGATATGTGATGGCCTTTATGAGCAAGCTCTGTATGAGAAGAATGAAGCAAAACTTCTTTGTCTTTAGTAGTACACTCACTCCTACTTAGTTTCCTAACAATTTGGCTGCACATTCCTGTGCACCAGGAGATAATCTTGGGCACGCTTTGAGAACCAAGGAATATTTAATTATTTTCTATGCAAACCAAAGCAAATTCAACCCCTGAATAGTTCCTGCTTTGCTTATGGGGAGGACCTCAGGAAGACAGCTGTGCAAGACCACAGTGGCAAACCTATTAAAAGAGCACTGAGACAGTTTAGAAGCTCTTTGTGCATGACTGTGAACCTTCCTCAGCTGTGATTCCCATCAGTGGGAATTTACAGCATGGCATGTGCTCTATAAACTAGTACTGAATCCAAAGCAGATCACCAGATTATTCCACTGGCAACCTGGCTCACTAGTCTGTGTAAAAACTGAGAAGCTTTGAACACTTTACATTTTATTTTAACACTGATAATAGCTTTTACATGTAGAACCAATGGAACAAGAACTGTTTGAAAGGAAGATGGCTTTTCTAGTGCAACACAGTATAGGCCTGAGCCTTTATTAATTACTAACTGGCAATATGATTAGAATTGATTACTTAAATCTCAGAAGCTACAACATTATGGTTCAATACAATATACCATTTTAGCATAAACATGTATTTATACATATTCTTCTCTCAGAGATACGGTGAGAGACTACTCCAATTTCTTGAGGCTCTCAGCACCCTCAAAAGAGATCAAAATTACAGAGAAAGATCCCTTGAGTTAACAGACTGCTTAAACAGAAGTAGACCAAAATGTATCGTGAACAAAACACTTGGTTTAGTCTAAAAAAAAAAAAGCCTGAAAAATATCAGTCAATGTCAATAATGAAATCACTGGTACAGATCTTTGACAGAAAAGATAAATGCAATCTAAGACCTGTGTTCAAACTTCAAGCAGGGAGAGCTTGCCTGTTTGTTCAGTGGGCACAGCAGTCATACTTCGTCTCTGAAGCTTCTCAACTCTCCTACAGCAGCATAAAAACAAGCCTCAAAATCATCAAAAGGCTGCAAAAAGAATACAGAACAAAATCCATAAGTATGGTTGTGCATGAACAAAACCAATGCAAGTCATAATTTAATAACAGCACCTTTATAAATACCTAATGCTAGGGCTTCTACTAAGCAATTGTTTAAAATGTCCCAATCTGCAGCCTTGGTGTCTGTTGAAACACACAGCCCACCTAGGCTTGAAAAGTGATTCCAAATGGAAAATAACATTTTTCAGTTTAAATCCTGATTCTTAAATTTTGCATCTTGACAATTTGTGCCTGGTTATTTTTCCGCCCTGTATGTAATCAGAGTAAACCAGTTAATGGTGTTTTATTAAACCTGGTAATAATGAAGTAGCAACAATTACTCCTTCAGAAACTGGAGATTCTGACTTGAAAAATTTTTTGAGCTACAGGCTCACTGGGGAAAAAAAACCAGCGTTTTGACTTACTCCATAACTTAATGCCAAAATATTAAGTGCAGAAGATTAGATTTTCCAGAATGCCAAAATAAACAGCAGCAGTTAAGCAGTCAGAATGGTTAGAAACATAATTTTTAGTAACACGGACCAAAGTTCTTAGGTCAGGTTGAAAATGTCCTAGTTTTCAAAGGTGCTGTACTTTCAGTAGTTTTGGATGCAGCACCCCTAAACCACAGTGTTGGTCTATTTTAAGATGACCGTGTTGTATGAAATTAGGTGACTCGTTTTATGTGTATGAGTTTGCAAACACTGAGGCTTACCTCAGGTTCTTCCAAGAGCCTTATCAATAAGCATTAATATTTAATTGCAGAGGTCTCCCTTCTGTGCTGAGAAAGTCAGTCCATATCAGGTGTATCCGCCCAGTGAGATGAAAAAGCTGTTCACTGCAAACAGGACTGTGACCTCCCAACTAACTTCACTCAAACCACGCAGCTGCTGGATGACAGTAACTTCCACTGACACTGGCTTGAATCGGATGTCAAATGGCAACTGTCTGAAAATCAGTGAAATCTTTACATTAAGATCCTCAACAGATGTTTACCTCAGGCATGCTACTAGTCCGGCTGGCATTAATTTCTTGGACCTCTTGAACCTCATTCCCATTATAATGGTCAAAAGAAAAGCTGAAACTGTAAAAGACAATTCAATATATTTATGTTCTGACGTCTCCCAGTGGGACCATTCAGGAACATGGAGAGTTACCAAAGGTCATTGCTATGCTTTGCTACCAACTGTAATTTAATAAAACATTAGATCAGAGATAGGGTCTATAAAAACACTCTCACTTTTCCAAAATACACTACTATGATTTTCTTTCAGCTACAGACAAGGTTTCCACATGCAGCAGAATGCTAAATCCCATTCCACTGATATTGTGTTTGTCAGACAGTGAATTCTTTGGCTCCATATTTACGTTCACTAGAATACAAATAAAGGAGGAAGAATCTTCATCATAACAGTAATGTGCCTGCTGAATTACAGGAATACTGCCCCACAAATCCCACCATCCTAGAGCATCGCAGCCATTTCCTAACTATTCTAGGAGTCAGAACATCCAGCTTTATCTGTGTTCTTTTTAGAATGCCAGCTCTTTATTTGCTGAACTTAAAAACTAGATTGGAAGGTTTGCCACTTGTTTTTGCTACAGAACATGGTTATCAACATCTCCACCACCAAGACCACAGGTTCCCTTGTTTCCTTTCGCTATGAGGGAACCATCCTTGTCTGTGACAAGAGGTGGCTGGCCCAAGAGGACAACAAATGTGGTGCAAGCAGCAGAGAACAAACATTGTGAAAGGAACTGCACCTGCCTGCTGGAGCAATTTTACCTAAAAACAGAGGTAGCAATGAGCTGATTAGACATGAGAATTTCATATTGAATTATGGCTGCAGAGTGCTACATAAATGAGAAGATTGATGAGAATATATAAAACTCTGCAAAAGCTGCTACAGTCACTAAAGAACTGTCCCCTGAAACGCTTCCTAGAAGTGGGCAGAGGCAGGACTCCCACAGGCAGCCAGGCTTTACCACTCTTGCAGCCAAAGTAATGGCAGCAACACAAATCTCTTCCCTTTAAGGAGCAGTTAAACCATGTGGCTAATTCTCCTTCAACCCCACTTGTCTATGCCTGCAGAGAGTCCTGTGCTTGCAAGGTGTCAAGAATTAGTTTTAAGCTCACTCCAGCATTATAAAACAAGCTCTGACAGTTACAAATATCTTACAAAACTCCACCAGCTATGCATGTGCACTCATTAAAGACACCCTGCAAAAAAACTATCACACTCCATTTTCCGTTGCTCTTATTTTCTGGTCCTGTAGCCTGATCCTCTCAGGAATGTCTGAAGGTGTCTTGCCAGAGCCCTGAGTATATTTACAATTGATCACAAGCCAAAAAATATGCTCATTCTGTAATGTTCTTTTTTCCAGTTACTAGTATCTAGCTTTTCATAGATGGCAGCCAGTTCTTAAGATGCTCAACTTTCAGACCTCATTTTCAGAAGTGCTAAATATTCATTGTTTCACTCTAAATCAGTCAAAGAAATTGAATAAAACAAGCCAAATTCAATTCAGTAAATCAGATTGATATAAG